TTCAGTCCACAACAATCTAAATTGATGAATAATTGAAGAAAATATAATGTATATAGCAAAGATAAAAAAGATGGATTCAGGGATGAGTAGGAAAGAGAAGAAATTCCAACAATACCAAACCTTATTTGGTGGTGAACATCAGTGACAACTGGGTTCCCACCACCGAATAAGATTTAGGTTTTAGGTTTTGGAATCAGAGGCAACAGGAAGACCTGCAATCAACCTAATCTCTTCTTTGAGGGTATTCTAGATTGATTTTGGAACTCAATTCCAGATAAAATCATAAATTTTGTGAAAATTTCAATAAGTGTTCCTGAAGGTACTCACCAACTTTCATGTGATTCACAAGTTAGCCATGTTGCACAATGCGGGTCAAAAGTTAATTTTGAATACCACATTTGTATTCCAATTTTTGCAGTACATTCTGAGTTATTTCCAGTGGTGGTAGTTCTGCTCTCACTGCATTTGAAAGTACACCTAATCAAGTCCAGATCATTAGTCAAAACTTCAGCTGTATTCATCCAAATATTTCCCAGGGTTGGCTTTCCATGTACATTGCAGCATACTTCTCTGTGAAATTAGACAGATGATCTTTTCTTGAGTCAAGATGAATGTACATTTATGTGAAGGCCAGCGTATTTACGATGATCTCCTTGGTATGTCTGGGAACATCTAGGAACAAAAAACTCTGAGCGCCCATAGTTTCACGAATATAGGGTGTGAAGTGAAAAAGGTTCCAGATCAGAAAATGCCGACCTTCAAAATTGTGAAGAGGCAGACAATATTGGCTGAATGGTGGCAAATTAGCCAGTCACCGGGAAAAGGGGAAGAATTATTGGCTGTTTTAGTAAAATGGTCAACAGACACAGCATGAACCACCTCAGAACCATCTCATCACGATTGGCATCATCAAGAACGAACATCATCAGAGGAGGAAGACTCCCACAACCAGCAAGACTGCCCCTACCAGGAACCAACGAACGACAGCATGCCACTCGATCACTCTTCACATCACCACCACCCATCACCACATTCCCTACCAAGCTCATCAACCTCTCAAAAGTATTGGTCTTGATCGCATCCCTCATCGGCTCCTACGCATATCTCACTGATACCAGGGCTAGTGTCCACTCCTGGCTCACCGTCCCGATCATCAAGCTCATCACACACGATGACCCCGAAGAGGCCCATCATCTCGCCATCAAGATCCTCAAACTGCTCTCCAAATTCCATCTCATCAAAGACGTCCCTCAACCAAACGATGAGCTCCTCTCATTCAAGGTCAGTCTTTTTTTTTCTCTTCCAACACAGAAATTTCAACCTTTGACCTTCTTCCGCACAGTTGTGGGGTAAACAATTTAGCAATCCGATAGGAATGGCCGCTGGGTTCGATAAAGATGGTGACGCATTGGATGCCCTGTTTGACATCGGATTTGGCTACGTCGAGATCGGCTCGATCACTCCGGAGCCACAGGTTGAGTTGTTCTTGCCTCCCCTCAATGGAAAAGAGTGGGGGCCTCTGAAATTGACTTAGTTTACCATCCATCGGGCAAATTGACAGCCAGGTAATCCTAAACCCAGGATGTTCCGGATCCCATCGACAGAAGCGATTGTCAACCGGTACGGCTTCAACTCCGAAGGCCACTTCGCGGTGCTCTCGAAGCTCCGCCATCGGTTACTGAGCTACCTTGATCAACATCGGCATCTGGGGTACTCGTCGCTCTTATCGCGTTACGACAATTTAAATCCGGTCCAGACCGCCTATGCCGATAGTGGGTTCACCCACCTCGTCCTGCCCTCGTCATCATCCTCCCGGACGGGGTCAGGCTCGGCCGGCCAGGCGGGCTCGTTAGATCAAGCGCTCGGGGAGATCGCCGACGAGGTCGAGCTCCCCCGCTCGTTAAGGGACGGTCAGTTGCTCGGAATCAACCTGGGCAAGAACAAGCACTCGGCGGCGGAGTCGGTCGAGGACTTCCGGCTCGGCATCGAGCGCTTCGGTAGCCTCGCCGATGTCCTCGTCATCAACGTCTCCTCACCCAACACTCCCGGCCTGCGTGGCCTTCAATCTAAGGAAGCCTTGGATCGTCTCCTCACCGAGGTCGTTCAAGCCCGAGACCAGCTCCCCTCCACCCACAGCAGCACTAAACGGCCCGCAGTCCTCGTCAAGATCGCCCCGGATCTTTCCACCCAGGAATTGGTTGACATTGGTGCCGTCGCCAAGCAGGCCAAGGTGGACGGGATCATCATCAGCAATACCACGACTAGTCGACCGCCTGGCTCGGGTTCAGGTAGACCCACTCCCCCGTCTCTCTATCCTCTCTGGAGTCTAAAGTGGCGCTTCGATGCTAACACAGGAATCCCCTGCGGATAAACTTTGAAATCTATGCGCAGAGCCTGAGATCCAAGAGACGGGAGGCTTGTCAGGGCCGCCCTTGAAGCCATTATCGCTGAAAGCCCTCTCGATCATGTATGCGGCGACGAACGGGGAGATTCCATTAGTTGGGTGTGGCGGAATTCGGGCGGCGGAGGATGTGTTGGAGTACGGACGAGCGGGGGCGAGCTTTGTTCAGCTGTACAGCGCGCTGACGTACGAGGGCATTGGGCTGCCCCGGAAGCTGAAGGACGGGCTGGGTGAGCTGCTGCGCGTTGAGGAGGGCGGCAAGCCGTGGCGCCAGATCGTCGGCTCCCGTGCCCGCAACGTCGACCTCCAGTCGCTCATCCAGGCCGACCTGAATGCCGCCATGGCCGCCTCGTACGACGACCAGATCAAGGATATCAAGAATACTATCGAGTTCATCGACCAGAACATCGCCCGCATCAGTGCTCACTCTACCTCCGCTCCCCGCCCCGATCAGCCTGCACATTCCCATCCTATCGAACATGCTCCTCCTGTCCCGCAGGAAAAGCCCGCGAATCCCTCTCAATCGCACGACGACCAAGAAAGAGGAATCTTGGCCCACTGGAAACGCACCCGCCAAGCCCAGATCGACAAGCAAGACTTCAAACGGGTCGTCTAACCAACTCATCCTTTCTTGCTCCTCTCAAACTTAATCTCTCTTTATGTCTTGTTGCGTCTTGGGTCGTCGTCTCTGAGAGGTCATATCAACCCCTACCGCTTTCTTTTCTGTCGCCTGTTTTTCTTTCCTTATTATACATATATATACAGATAGATGTGTGTCCTGTGTTTGAAAGATTTTATATCACGTGTGTGTGTGTTTTTGAAAACAAAGTAAGAAGAAAGGTAAAAAAAAAATTGCACTGTAAGTGGATTTATAAGGGTGATCGCGATGGTGGTTGTCAGCGGGGACAGAATGATGATTCGGACTTGCCTCTGTATCCTGATCTGCATTTGCGAATCGTGATGCCTAGCCACCGTTATTTTCCATCACACACCCAGAGATCATGATAGCCGTAATATAAGTCGTGCCACTCGACCCACAAGCCTCCAGACCAGACAAAAAAAAAAAAAAAACATCGTCGCCACTCTTCGCGCAACATCAAGGAAATTCATCCCCAAAAATCTGGTCCCCGAAAATCTGGCACTACATGGAGAGTTGACAAGCTTCTTGCGGCTTGCAGCTCATACGCTAAAAGTAATCGACAACGGCAGGATTTGAACCTACGCGGGAATATCCCAATTGATAGTAGACACACTGGGGTACCTTAGATGAGATCATTCTAGTCAATCGCCTTAACCGCTCGGCCACGTTGTCACGATGTTTAACTTTGCCCTAATTTGCGTATATATACACACAGCCAGATGACCATCATCGAACCATATAGCGGACAAATGGGTGTTTGGTCCTAGCATTTGCCTCAAAGAATATTTTATAAATTTCTCATTTCAAGGACGAGATACAGTGGTTCCCTAGAGGGTGTAAACAGATTTGTCAGTGCCACTCTTGCCTTGGCGTCTTGACACAAGTTTTTGTCTGCTATCAGATCACTGGGGCTGCGGTCTGTCAAGTTTCTGGGTATAATAAGGGCCACCATATAATATCAAGGTGTGCGGGAGAAGTGGAAGTGTTGACCTTTCCGGGTTCTCGCTTGTGTATGTAGGGAGTGTGGCAAGGGTGGTGGTTTAGGATCAGGATTCCGCTTGGTGGCTGGCGGACAGCCCCCGCTTGGCCGCGGAGTTACCTTTCTTCTGTGATGACTGCCATCAAATCCAACAGTTGTTGTTGGAGGGTTGCCGAGTCTATTGGTGGATGTGGGGCAGGTTTGGTAGTGTTTTGTTTTCTGGTTCTTATGGTTGGTTCTAGGGATAGAGAGGTAGGTTCTGGATCCTATATGGTTGATTGCAGGATGAGGGAAAGGTATGTATCTCTAACCCTGTGGCACCAGAGCTGTTTCCATGGAACTTGCATGCAAGTGCTATCACTTCACTTTCTTAAATAACCTGTTGGTAACTTCTGAGACGTTAGTCTGAAGTACACTGCAAGTCAGGTTGAACTCAGGATGAAGTTGGTTGTAACTTGCATTGATGTCAAGCTCAACAATTAACCTGATGTATTGCCCATGTCAAGCTGTTATCATCCTTCCAGTATGAGTAAGTCAGATATTCATTTCACCAGCTAAAAAAAATCTTATATAACATTTGCTCATCCTATTTTGATTGAAATTAGATTTGAATTCCAAAAGAATATAAAGAATCCAAATGAAAATGTTGTGATTAACACTCAAGGACTTATGTTTTATCTTGAAATTATAATAACTCATATCAGTTATGGTCACCGTTTTATGACCTTGATATTCTTTTTTTATGTTATGATTGTATTGAGAATATGAATAAAAGCCTTGCTACCTGTTTGCATATGTAGATGTTTTGGCACAGTCACTGTGCAAAGCTTGGCTGAATCACTCTTGGAAAAAGGTTGGAGTAATAACAGAAGCTTTCTGTGACTTTCATGTCAACTGCAGGCAGTTGAGTGAGTTTTTTTTTGTAGTGAATTGCTTGTTCTTTCTAAGACTTCACAAGGGCAAGGAAAGAGGCCTATCTGGGGGGGGGGATGATTGAAGTAAAAAATATTTATGGCAAGCTGATATTTCAGCCTGTGTGGGCCTTTTTCCTGTTTGTTGCCATTCCTCCTGGTTGAGGAGCTATTTTGACTGGATTTACTTACAACCCCCCTGTTGAAGCTAGGATTAAATGACTCAGATGATGGGGCAAGAGAAAGGGGCAAAAAAGGCTTTGGTCCTTTTTTGGAAAGGCTCAATGGAAAATGAATGAGAGAACCAATGGGGTAATTGCTTGTATCTATGCTACTTAAGT